TGGGATAAACTCAGAGAAATCCATGAAGAAAGTAAGAATATGAGAGAACAAAAGAAGTCCATCCTGGTCAATAAGTATGAATCCTTTAAGATGGAACTTCATGAAAACATTGACAAGATGTATTGCAGATTCAATGATCTTATTAAGGATTTAGAAGTACTTGAAAAGGATTACTCTCTAGGTGAAAAAAATAGAAAAATTCTGAATACTTTATCCAAGGAATGGGAGAGTAAAGTGACTGCCATTGAGGAAGCTAAAGATCTAAATACCTTATCCATTGAATCTCTTATTAATTCTTTAATCTCTTATGAGCTGAAACTCAAGTCCAACGTACAAGAGGAAGAAGATACAAAAGTGAGAAAGAGTATTCCTCTAAAAGCCTCACAAGATGAAAATGATTCAGCCTCCTTAGATGAAGATAACATGGAAGGTGATGATAGTGATATTGCACTCATCACGAAAAACTTCAAAAGAATACTCAACAAGAGGAGATTCAGAAAAAGTGGACTCAACAATTCATTCCCAAATCAGTTCAACAACTTGAGAAACAAAGGGAAGCTAGAGTTCAACAAACAATAAACTGATAAGTGCTTTGAATGCGACCAACTTGGACACTACGCAAATGAATGTCCAATAAAGAAAAGAAAGGAAAGCAAGGTTGAACGAAAACTAAAATTTAACAATTTTCAGATCACCTGAAATGACTGCAATTCAGAAGGTGAAGTCGAAGAAGAAAAGGAATCTGCCCAATTGGCTTTCATGGCCATTGGTGATGAAGAGGTAACCACGTGCAACTCTCAAACTGATAGTGATAGTGAATCTGATGATGATATTAATTTGTTTTTGGAAAAAATGCACAACAGTTTGAAAGAATCCTATGTTAGAAACAAGGAATTAAAACAAAAAAATTAACTTTCTGATACAAGACAATGCAAGCCTTTTTTGACAAAACAAATGTCTGAGAAATGAAAATGAGAACCTGAAAAGAATTGAAAATGATTTGCATGCTGAACTTGACAGAAAGACAAACTTCTGTAACATGTTCAAAAATGAATAAAGTAACTTGAAAAGAAGAATGGATGATTTTAATCAAATGATTCAACATAAGAAACAAAACTTTTTTCAAAGGAATGATACAAAACCTCACTGTGGTACTCATCAGAAAAGGTTAAATTATAGTGCAAATGAGTTTACTATCTATAGAAGAAGGCAAATAAGATTTATTAAACCTGTTCATTTGAATAATTCATTAAGTATGTGTAGTTTCTGTTGTCAATTTGGCCACATAAAAAGTAATTGTTATGTTAGGAAAAATATGAGAAATGACATGAGATGCATATGGATGGTTAGACATAATGCTAACTCTCAAGGACCCAAAAAGTAAAGGTTACCAAATATTATCTTGTAGATCTTTGTGTAGGTGAATTTGGTGAATATTATTAAGGAATCAAAATGGTTCATAGACAGTGGATGCTCAAGACATATGACTGGTGATCCATTACAATTTATCAAGTTCAAGCCAAAAGCAAGCGGAAAGGTAACATTTGGAGATGATAACAAAATCAAAACTATTGGAATTGGTGATGTTGGTAAGAATGGTCAAACCTTTGTTCACAATGTTCTTTTAGTTGACAATTTGAGCTATAACTTGTAAAGTGTTAGTCAATTGTGTGATAGAAATCTGTTTGTGTTATTTAAAAAGTATGAATGCCTTGTTCTTGACTCAAAATTCAACACTATTTTCAAAAGAAAAAAAGTAAATGACATTTATGTAGTTATCCTTAAAAAAGTTGATTCCTCTAACCTTAGTTGTCTCAAAGTAGCAAATGAGGACCCCTGACTGTAGCATAGAAGGCTCTGTCATTTCAATATGGATCTACTAAAAGAAATCTCCAAGAAGTGTCTTGTTAGAGGGTTGCCAAAGATCAAATTTGAAAAGGACAGAATTTGTGATGCTTGCCAATTTGGAAAACAAGTCAAAGTGTCTTTTAAATCCAAGAAATGTGTTTCTACTACAAAGTCTCTAGAACTTTTACATCTTGATTTATTTGGTCCGACACAAACTACCAGCTTAGAGGCAAAAGATTTTGCTTTGTTGTTGTTGATGATTATTCTAGATACACTTGGGTGATGTTTCTTGCTCACAAAGATGATGATTTCAAAAACTTTGTTTCACTATTTGCAAAAGTTCAGAATCTGATTGGATTGAAAATCATCAAAATCAGAAGTGACAATGGTTCAAAATTTCATTTTTGTGGCTTTCCAGAATTTTGTAACAACAATGGTATTACACATGAGTTTTCAATTGCAAGAGTTCCCCAACAAAATGGGGTTGTTGAAAGAAAGAATATAACTCTTCAAGAAACTGCTAGAACCATGCTAAGTGAGTGTAATTTACCAAAATACTTTTGGATTGAAACTATAAATACAACTTGTTATACCATGAATAGAGTTCTTTTAAGACCTATCTTGAACAAAACCTCCTATGAGCTGATGTTTGATAAAAAGCCCGTAGTTGGATATTTTAAAGTTTTTTGTTGCAAATGCTTCATTTTAAACATCAAGGAACATCTTGAAAAGTTTGATAAAAAATCTGATGAGGGAATTTTCTTGGAATATTGTGAGAATAAGAGAGGTTTTAGAATCTACAATCGAAGGACTTTGGTTATAGAGGAAACTATACATATCACTTTTGATGAATCTAATGGTGACATTTTCATAAGTAGTGGTGAAGATGATGATGCAGGTATCCAAGAAGAACTAAAGAAACTCACAATCACTGACCAAGGAATTACTTCACCAGAAAATGATTCAAAGGAAGATGAAACTCAAGACAGTTCAGCAAGGGAAGACAATGACAGAGACACTAGTACACCTAACGATCTTCCAAGAGCTTGAAAATTTGCTCAAAACCACCCTAAGGAGCTCATCATTGGTGATCCATCCGAGAAGGTCAGAACTCGCTCTTCCTCTAAACAACTAATGGATAATTTTGCATTAGTTTCACATTTTGAACCAAAAAATATAGTTGATGCTTTGAAAGATGAGAACTGGATTTTAACTATGGAAGAGAAGCTAAATCAATTTGAAAGGAATAAGGTATGGACATTAGTTGCTAAACCAAAAGATCATTCTATCATTGGCACAAAGTGAGTTTTTAGAAACAAAATGAATGACAAAGGTGAGGTAGTAAGAAATAAGGCCAGACTGATAGTCAAAGGATATACTCAAGAAGAAAGAATCGATTTTGATGAATCATTTGCACCCGTAGTTAGGTTGGAATCAATTAGAATGTTTTTGGCCTTTGCATGTTTCAAGAATTTTAAATTATTTCAAATGGATGTTAAAAGTGCCTTCTTAAATGGATTTATTAATCAAGAAGTATATGTTGATCAACCTCCTGATATTGAAAATGAAATTTATTCAAATCATGTATTTAAACTCTCAAAAGTTTTGTATGGACTAAAACAAGGTCCAAGAGCATGGTATGAATGTTTGAGTGGTTTTTTGATTGAAAATGATTTTAAAAGAGGTATTGTGGATACTAATCTTTTAACTAAGCAAAGTTTCAGTGATCTTTTAATTGTGCAAATATATGTGGATGATATTATATTCGGTGCTACTAATGAGAGCTTATGCAAAGATTTTTCCAATATCATGCAAAAAGAGTTTGAAATAAGTATGATGGGAGAATTAAATTTCTTCTTTGGACTCCAAGTGGTTCAAACCCAAGATGAAACGTTCATCAACCAAGCAAAATACACCAAGGAGCTACTCAAAAGATTTGAAATGGAGGATTCAAAGTAGGTCAGAACACCTATGTGCATATCTACTAAGTTTGACAAGGATGAAAAAAGTACAAAAGTTGATGAAAAGAAATATAGAGATATGATTGGTAGTTTGCTTTACTTAACTGCTAGTAGACCAGATATCATGTTTACTGTATGCTTATATGCTCGTTTTCAGTTTTCTCCAAAGGAATCTCATTTAAATGCAGTAAAAAAAATTCTTAGATATATAAAAGAAACCTTGAATTTTGGTCTATGGTATCCTAAGTGTCATGAACTTCCTTTGTGTGGATTCTCTGATACTGACTTCGACGGTTGTAGGGTTGCTAGAAAAAGTACAACAGGTATATGTAATTTTCTTGAAAATTGCTTAGTATCCTGGCTTAGTAAGAAACAAAATGCTATTTCATTATCTACAACTGAAGCTGAATATTTTGCCGCTGAAGCTTGTTGTGCTCAATTATTGTGGATGAAAAACACATTGAATGATTTTCGATTGATGTATGATTGTTTGCCTATGTATTGTGATAACATTAGTGCAATAAATTTGACAAAAAATCCCATCCAACATTCTAGGGCAAAACACATAGACATAAAGTATCATTTCATTCGCGATCTTTTCCATAAGGGTGAAATTTGTGTTCAATATGTCTGTTCAAAAGATCAAATTATTGATATTCTCACAAAAACCTTACCACTGGATCAATTTGTGTCTTTGAAAATAAAATTGGGCATTTCAGAAAAAATTCTCTAAAAAATTCTCTAGTCACTCTTTATCGGACGTGCGATGTGTTAGAACGGACGTCCGACAGTGTTCTTAATCATCTACCCAGAAAATTTTGGTTTGGACGGAAGTGTCGGACGCTCTATTTCGTTCGGCCATCCGACACTCTTATAAGGAAACCCTCTGCGTTATTCAGTTCATTCCTACCCTTTTGTCTCGAACGCAACTCATTCATCTTTTCTCGGAACAAGTACCAAGAAATCACCCTGACCGACACCTTCACATACCTATTGCGAGTTTATTGTGCATCATAACTTCCCCCAACCGCCAACTGCACTATAAATTTCAATTCTTACCCGAAACCCTAACCACAAAAATTTCTCCCTCTGTGGACAGTTCGTGCATTCACTATAGTTCATACTGCACTCCTCATCATTTGATACTTATTTGTATCACATTCCACAACAAAATCATACTGCATTGCAATCATGGTGAGGATTAGAGGAGGATCCGTGAGTGCCGAACGCACCTTCAAGTTTCTTGATGAGGAGGATGAAGATGTTCAAGTTATCGAACCATCCATCAAATCACCCAAAAAGAAAATTGAAAATCGTGGTAGAAAAACGAGACAATCTGCAAAGAAAAAGCAGTATACGCAAACCAGAGAGCTATCGGCTGAACCATCCGATGAGCAGATGAAGGAGCTTCAATCTGAAGGACATCCAATAAGTGGCAATGAAGAGGAACTGGAGCAGCCTACCAATGTAGATGTAACCACCATGAAATCACTTAGGAAAGGAAAAATGACTGCCAAAAGGAAGAGCATTGCTCAACTCAAGGGAAGGCAAACTGCTGATCCATCTAGGAAACAACAGGATGCAGAGAAAAATACTGAGGAACAACAGACTGATGAACCATCTACCAGGAAGTCACCAAGGACAAGGTTTGGTGTCCAGGGTGCTGCACCAACTACACAGCGCAGTGGAAAAAGAAAGCATCCAGAAAATGAACAACCAGGGACCCAAACTACTGTTGAACCAACACCCCTGCCCAAGTTCATCGATGATGAAGCCAGGGAGAGATTTGAATGGATCTCGCAGAAAAGCTTCATCACTCAAAGGACCATCATTCCCTACGAATTCCGTAAACTTGACCTTGAATCTATTCTCAACCTTTTTGAATTCCAAAAATAGACCCATCTTCTGACCATTCCAAACACCTACTATCCTGACATGTTTCATCAATTCTTTGCAAACCTTAGAAAGGGTAAATCACATACTGAACTCATTTCACGTGTCAATTCTGTTAACATAGAACTGAATCCTGATATTGTCAACTCTGTTTTGGAAACCAAAATTGAATATGATTTTAAAGGCAAAATTGTAAATTTCTTTTCTTACAAAGAATTTCTCCCTGCATACCATCACTTTCATGTTGCAAAATTAATGACCTATTTTCAGTCTCACTTTAATAGTCCTGTTGAGGTACGATTGGAAGATCTTAGTTCTCATAACCTGATCATTTTTACCATAATTCCAAATCTGTTGGTGCCCACTGATGGTTACAGGACTGATGCAAACAAAATGAAACTTTATCTGTTCTACTGTTTACTTGAAAAAATCTGAATTGATTCTGGTTTTGTCATGTGCAAATTTCTGCTCAAAATCAGTACTGACAGCCGTAGGAAACTATCCTATGAAAAATTTCTGACTCCCATTTTTACTCATTTTGAAATTTTCTTTTCTGGAAAATCTCCAAAAGAAAGTGCATCAACTGTGTTTTCAAAGACTTACTTTGAAAGGAAAAATCTGAAATTTTTTTAGGGTCATTGGTGTTATAAAGAAACTGTCTTTGAGTCTAGGAGAAAAAATCTTCATGAAATTCTTGTAACCCCTAAGACTCCTCGAGACCAATCTATGTATGTGACACCCTTCACCATTCATTCTAGAAGGTCAACCTCTATGCATACTTCATCCAACTTGAGGTCATCTCTCTGCTTGATGACCTCAAACAACATATTCTGCTTCTTGAAGATGGCTTGATGATGACCATGACTTCTGATGAACAAGCCACCTTCGTTGTCAAAAGGAATCTGCTTGTACCTCTCATTCTTTCAGAAAATGAAAATGCACATCGAAAGGAGCTTAGGACTGAGCCAACCACTGAAGCTACCCCAGAGTACCGTGCCTCCAGTTCTCAACCACAGGACAAGAGAAAAGCTCCGGCAACTGAAGAAGAGACTGAAGAGGATGATGATGATGAGAATGAGGACAATGATGAAGAAGACCCTGCACAGTTTCGCCTGACTAGAAGAAGGCTTGGATCCTCTAAGATCACCATATAAGCACTACTAGGCTACTGCACTTCATGATTAGGATAATAGTTCATATTAGGTTTTTGCATCTTTTGCACTTAAAAACATTTGTTGTGCTCTGTCTTAAGGATTTTACTTCTCTATTGGTTTGTAAAACTATTTAGTTATCCTTTATGTTGAATGTTGTTTATTTCAGTTTATCCGCAAATATTAGTTTCTGATTGATAATGTTTTGGTTTTGGTTCTGAATGGATGGTGTTGTTGTGTTCTGCCAATATTAGTTTTGCTAAATTCAGCTTGGATGTGTGTTGCTGATAATACCTGGTGACAATATTGGTGAGCCAATGTATTGGTAATATGAATAATTTTACTGGTTGATTCAATGATGACAAAAATGAGGAGATATATGGATATGAAATCTATATGTGACGGGGAGTCATTTTAAGAGGGAGTTGTGATTATTCTGAAGGGAAGTTGTGAATACTCCCTGAATGCATTAAGTTAGGGGGAACTGTACCTAAAACTTTTTACTCCATCCATTGTTTTGTCATCATAAAAAAGGGGGAGATTGTTTATCTCAATCCGTAACTTTTGATGATTACAAAAAATGAATGTTACTAATATTCTCTGATTAAGATCTTTTCAGAATTGGAGCAGAACAGGTTCAAAGGCTAACATATGCTGAAATAGATGTCGAACGCACATAAAGACTACATCGGCCGTCTAACAACCATTGAGTAACTTTGGACGCATGAAGAACCCATTCTCGGACGTCCAAAGATGATGAACCAAATCCTCTAAGCTAATTGACCTCGATCGGACGAACAACACCTGAGTACCGGACGTCCGATAAACATTGCGATACTTCAGACGCAAAACATTGGAGGCACCGGACGTCCGAACGAATTGAAGGAGAATTTTCAGTTTTACATCATACCTTCGGACGCATATTCTGGAAGTACTGGACGTCCTAAACATTTCAAGAAAACTTCTTGAACTCACTACCTGCGTTCGGACGCAGAAAACTAGCCTACCGGACGTCCGACACCACCAACGGCTAGTTGACTCTTCAACTGCCTTCTATCCATTGATAGCATTAATTGAAGAATTTTTTGGTCCCTTATAAAAAGGAAAAAGTCAACCACTTCAAATAACTTTCGCACATTGAGACTACATCAGATCTTGAGTGATTCAAGTGTGAGAATACTCTTTAAAGAAGATTTATACTCTTAATTGTGGAACTTTCAATAAACTTTTCAAGTGTGTTTCTATTTCTTTAATAGTGTAGTTTTATGAGAATTATTCGAGTGATAGTAAAACTTCCTTGCTTGGTCAAGTGCAGCTTGGGGCGAGGAGGAAGTGATCCTTCCTTTGTACACAAGAGATTGGTTGTAAGTTGATCAACTTGAAGAAACTTGCTATATAAAGTGGTATTCAACAGCAAGTGAAGTTTGGAATTTGGTTTGCTATTCTATCTTTTTACTTACTGTTTTGCAATATAAATTGTCTATCTCTTCTACTCCCAAGCACTTGTGCTTATTCATCAATTGCTCCATTGTGTGGTCCTTCAGAAAAAGAGGGCAAGATTTCAAAAAGTGACTATATCTAGACCAATTTTTAAACCACCTAATTCACTTCCCTCTTAGGTTGTTTTCGATCCTTACAGTAATAATGATTAATAATTTTAGAAGATAACATCTTAGGATTCTTATCAAACAATTTATGAATTATAATAATGGCCACTTCGGTGGTATCAATTAAAATAATCCGATAAATTATTCAACTAAAATAACTTTATTGGCCAAACTTAAATTTAAAAAACAAATACATGTAAAAATATTCCAAGCCAAAATACAAGAGGCATCTGCAAAGGGATGCACATTGACAATGTATTTAGACCATTTATCAAGCATAAACAGTTATGCTATTCATAGTCAAAAGATCAATAACAACTTAAACATCATAATTGATAAAAAAAAAGACAGCAATTTCTTAAAAAGAAAACCATGCAGGCTTAAGTTTAGAAGCGTATAGGTGAATATCAATCACAATATATCCCAATTTGCACATAAAATAGAGTACTGCTATGCTTATACTTTCAAGTTGGACATTGACATGATGTATATGTATTTGGTAAAATACGTCAGATAAGAAGGAATAATATATATATATATATATATATATTCAATCTAAACTTGATTCATCTATGGATTACTGCGTCTTTGATCATATCAAGTGACTAAAGTGCAAGATCCGTGGCAACCATGAACTCAATAACACAAGTATTTAGATATATTCTTTATAAATACCGTGACAACTTAATTTATTCATATGGCAGAGAATCATACAGAAAATCAGTAGATCGTTATTTGATACTGATACATCAATGAATTTTAATTCAAATGTAATCCAAAGAAAAGTTCAAAGGCTACAATATCCTTGAACTTTTGCAATCCAAACCTTGATACTGTGGCTCTAATGCCACTTGTTGGGATTATAGATCCTCAAATACCAAGGAATTGAATAGAAAAATAAATATAAACATGTACCGTTAGTTGTACCCATTGAATCTTGACCAGGTTGAGAAGAAGACACAGATCCACTCAATGAATCCATGTAATACGTTAAGGTTCACGTCTCTAGGTTAGATGCTCCCTCTCCCTTTTTAATTTCTGTATGGTGGCTCTCAATGAGGAAACCACTCCTAGCAACCTATATTTATTGGCTATAGTATTATAGATGGGAAAGAGAGACCTAGTCCTAGTTTTTGAATTGGGTCCTCCCATTAAGAAACCCTACTAGAAAAGGCTCTACACCTTTCATACCATATCCAAATAGTATGACTGAGATAGACCTAGACCCAAACACTAGTGGATCATGTTACAATAGGCTTTACTAGTATTATTTAACCCGTTTTGATAAAATGAATAATTAGTAGCACCCCAAATAAAAAAAATAAAATATTTCTAACACTATCATCATTCTATTTGCATATTATTTTAGTATTGTTATTGATTTTGCTACCACTGCTAGTCTAATTATCTTGCCAACGGATGGGTGGATGGATGATGTAGGAGGCCGGTCCTGGAGGTGTCAATGGGGGAGGTACTTGGGGAGCAGCAACAGATACAAAGAAGATCTACAAAAACATTGTCAATAGCAACAAATTGAACTTCCCTCTTTTGTCATTGCAAAAAGTCACGAATGGCGGGGACGGGGCAGCGAATGGTTCTGTTGGTTTATTAGAGTAGAGAAAGTAGAACAAGAATGAATACTTTTGTGTTGCATAAGTCTCATTTTATTGAGTCATAAGCCATGCTTTTATATAGCATAAAGAAATCAAAATTAGAGAAAACTCTGGAAAAAAAAATCTGCTAGAGATAAGATCCTAGAATCAGAATCATAACAAGTATTTTGACTTATCTATTGCCTAAAAAATAGCAAAATGAATAACTAACTACTACAATCTGTTAGCAGCTCCACAAATCATGCCATTCAACACTACTCTTTGGTTTTGGAACTGCATACTCCAAGCTTTTGCCTCAAGAACTCAAATCTTTCTTTGGGAAGAGCCTTTGTAAAGATATCAGCACTTTGATCTTCTGTTTTGCAGAAAATCAGCTGCACTTCTCCATTCTTTTGCACTTCTCTTAAAAAATAAAACTTTATCTTGAAATGTTTTGTTTTGCCATGGAACACTGGATTGTTGGAAATAGAAATTGTAGCCTTGTTGTCAACAAATATTTGAGTGCATTCTTCCTGTTTCATGTATAGATTAGTCATGAGTTTTCTTATCTAAAGTGCTTGATTCACAGCAGCAGCGGCAGCTACGTATTTTGTTTCTGCAGTGGATTGAGCTATGACATCCTGCTTCTTTGAACACCATGAAAAGATTCCAGACCTAAAAGTAAAATAGTAACCTGAGGTGCTCCTCATATCATCAGCATATCCAGCCTGTGACAACCCCACCTTTCCCTAGGGCGAACCCAAGGGTTTGGCGGACCGCCTGTCCAGATCTCTCTGGAACTCACTCACTAACATTCTTGAAAATGGTAATTCACACCTCTAACTTAACATAGAAAGTTCTCAATCAACCATAATTCAACTTCATTTACAAGCCAAAAGTAAAACGTAGCTTTACATTGACAAATATCCCAAATACATTCGATCCATAAAAGTATATGTACAAGAAACTTATACACGCTAGTTCACGCTTATTTGCTCCAACCTCTACTCCTGTAAGGAAAATAAACTAATGGGATGAGTTAAAAGATCAGTGAGGTTCCCAAACAAGCAATCAAGTAGGCAAAACACGGAAACATTTACATTTAGCAATTTGCACACTTGGCACAGTAATAAGCAGCCATTTAAGAATCAATCATTCATTCATTGAAATGATACGTTCTTACTTAGAGCCATTCATTCAAGTCATTCATTCATTCATTCTCCAACCATTTTCCTTATCCCTCCGACAATAGAAAACATTTGCACGTGAAAACTCCTTCAGTATTCATGTTATTCATTCATTGATTTTATTGCATTGAATTTTCTGGCCAGTTCTCCACCAGATTTCGTGGTAGTACTCGAGTATACCAAACATTGTCCCAGGGTCACCAGCCATCTGACCGAGTCCGCTTCTGGCTCGAGTTAACTGGCAACGAAGGGCAAGAGCTCAATTCAGTCAAAAGGCTTACATTCATGTACAAGTAGCATTCAATCATTAAAAATTCACTTTTGCTTGGGTCGAGTGCGATAAAGTACACACTCACCCATCGAAAATCTTTTTAGTAATCATTGGAAGACATTTAACATTCAGACAACATTCCACATAGCCATTTAAAGCACACACATACAAGGAACACTCACCAATAGTCAAGTAAGCAAGACAAGAGAAAGCTTTCACAAGTTCTCCTCGAGGTTTCCTCGAATTCCTCTTGAATACCTGAAACATGCACAATCAACGATTACCTATAATCGTTCAACCAAGGTCAAACAATTTCCTCTTAACCCTTCACTCAAGCATGCTCAAT